ATAACAATATACATACCTCATGACCTTACAATAATGTCAAAATTAGTAATTGAATAATATTCGAACACCGTAGCTTGATTTAGGTGCGATTAATAATAAATTATCGTGACTATGGGTACGGTTCATGTGGCATAGTCATGATACGTAAACCCCAATTCAAGTGTATGTTTCACGCGACTTGACCATAACTTCAAATAATAATAAAAATAAACATGTTGTAAATCGCGGGTGCGTTTCACGTGGCGCGGTTCGCAATGTGTACCAAAACGGCAAATGTGCGACATCGTGACTTGTTCAAATAAATTTCATAAATATTAAAAAGCGGTAAAAGACAAAAATGCACAATGGGTTTAAAACATATAATAAATCAAATAATTACGTCAAGTATTAATTGTTAAGCGACCGTGCTAAAACCACGGAACTCGGGAGTGCCTCACACCTTCTCCCAGGTTAACAAAATTTCTTACCCGGTCTTCTGTGTTCGTGGACCAAAAGTAAGAGTCAAATTTTCTCGATTTGGGATTCTAAAATAAATCGGTGACTTGGGACACCATAAATTATTCCAAGTGGCGACTCTGAATAAATAAATAATCTCATTTCGAATAATGTCACTTAAATTAAAAAAACTCTCTATCCGCTATCCCCTCGGAAAAAAGGAGGTGCGACAATATATATATATATATATAATAAAATAAAAAAGGCTTCACACCATACAAGATTTTTATTCAAATAGCAATTAATTGTACTAGGAAGTTCTAGTTTCAAATGAATTTTGGACATTTAGCGGTAAAAATTTTACAGGACGCTTATTTGGTTGCTTTCATTTAACTTATACTCATTTTTTTTTTAAAGTTTAACTGGTATCGAGTGTAACCGCACTTCAGATTTCTTCCACTTTTCAAGCTTCTTCCGCTTCTCATATTCTCATATTCTCCTTTAGAAATTTTTCTATAGGTTATGCTGTATTTGCTGAGGAACCCAACAGGGTCTATTCCTTTCTCGTTATCCGACTGCTCCTTTGTTACCTTGCCAGTCGTTGTTTGTGCTATAAGACGAGTTTTTCTCAAAGATAAAAAATTTGAATTGAATCCGTCAAAGAGAGTATGGTTGATGCTAATTAGTAATTCCTACGGTTTAAGGGAGAAGAAGATGAAGTATTTACCCTAGAAATCTGAAGTTAGACCGTTTCAAGCGAACTTCAGATGCGTTTCTGAAATTGTATTGAAGCGGTGGAAGAATTTTAAATCCGATTTTTTTAGTTGCATTGAACCGGTGGAATAAGAACTTCAAATCCAAGTGTGAAGTTGCACTTTGAAGCAATAGAAAAAATTCGGTAGCTTACAAAATCCTACATTTGTAACTTAAGATGTGAATTTTGAAGTGTGGTGCTAAGTGAGTTAATATTGTAAATTTTTATTCAGTGAGAATATGACTTCAATAGTGGCCCAACATCAGGTATATCTTGGTAAAACTTTCGCGGGTATCCTATTTGGTCACCCCTCTATAACTTGTATCCACTTTTTAAATTTTTTTTTTTAACTAGAAGTATAGATAACTTCAAGCTTTTTTCTCCTCCTCCTCCTTCTTTATGAAAATAAAGGTGAATTTATATGGTGTTTGCGAGCATATTTTAAGGTGGTTTACGGTGTTTTGCAGTGGTGAGTTGTTGTGGCACTTTATTTTTTACTACCGCTTATGGTGTGAGCATATTTTAAGGTACTTCTTCTTCTTCTTCTTCTTCTTCTTCTTCTTCTTCTTCTTCTTCTTCTTCTTCTTCTTCATTGCACAATGGGTTTGTTAGATTTGTTGTTTGATAAATTGATGATTGAGGTTTGTTCTTGATGATATTTGGAGGTTATCTTTCAAATTTAAACTCATTTGGAGTAGATCTAAGTGTAAATCGTGTATTGGATTGTTGAAATTCGAAGAACAAGTTTCTGTTTCTGGGCAATTTGCATTTCAGATCTATTTGGCCTTAAGTGCATGAAAATATTGGTTGCACTTCAAACCTATTTGGCATTAAGTGCATCTGAAGTGCGACATTTTTACTTCAGATCTATTTGGCCTTAAATGCATGAAAATATTTGTCGCACTTCAAACTAAAAAAAATTTCAAGTTTAGATCCAATAAGTCTGAGTTAATCTTAAAGTGAATAGGTTTGCAAAATTTTGTGCAAAGTGAGTATAACTTTAATGGTGACCCCAAAATTGGGTATAGATGCAAATGCTAACTTTCCCACTTACTGCTTCAATAATAGAATGGGCCTATAAGACCTTATATAGTACAACTCTTTTCCTTGGTGTCATGTGGAGGCATTTTTTTGGTTACGAGGGTCATTTCTGGTAGAAATGGCAACTATTTTACATTTCAAATAACACATATGGGACCTGAAATTATATTCAAAAATGGTACTAGAAGATTGCATGATTGTCTTGTTTCTTTTGGTGACAGCTTTCCCACACAATTGATTATCTTCATTTACTTCAGCACTAGACCAAAATTTTTCACCCCAAGTACACTAGAAAATCAATTTTAAAAAACGTTTTAATTACCCACATTGGGTGTTTACACCACACCATACTAATATTATCATGATTAATAACCAAGGTGAAAATGTCAATTAACTAACTATGATTTAATGATAACCATATTTGTGAATACATATCATATATTCATTGATTTGGAGTAAACACGAAAACCTCTTGCACTTTTTTGTGGCCCCCTTTCAGCAACTTTAATTTTAGCCCAAAATACAGGCGTTATATGGTACTCTCCTTGCATCGAGTGGCAAAGTTTCAATGTAATGCTTAAGGATGCAAAGAAGTTTTTAACTCAAAAATTCACTTCCTATTTCTTTGATTCAGTTATCAAATACAGTCACCACAAAGCATGGTTTAACCACTGATAAATGTTCAAAAATGTCAAAAGTACAACCCAAATTTTGTTTCACCTTAACCTTTAATCGTTGCCATTCAATTACAAAAACTATTCAAGTCCATTTACACAAGGAAATTTTAGAACATAAAAACAGGTTTAGAATCAAGCAAATACTGCAAGAAATGCTTGAAAGGTCCTTAGGTAAGAACAAAACATCAAGATAGAAGAATAGCATATCTTCATCAAATCATACAGTTGAACAAGCTAATATAAGTTATAAGTGACTGTAAAATCATTAAAAAGCTGGCAAATTTACAGCTGAAGTTGGCTTCTAAAGACTACTGATAAACAAAGGCATGTTAACATGCACAAAATTTTAGAAGGGCAGTGAGTTTATATGTTCTTAACAAGGAGACGACAGTTTCATGTGCATCCGTTGCAAAATGACCATTTCGCTAGCACACAACCAACCGAGTGTGCAGTACATCTTAGAGGCCAACAGTTCTGGCTGATACCTCACTCAAACAGAACAAAAATGACAAGGAGCGGTCACATAACAGCAGCTAAAGCAGGAAGGAGAGAATCAAGGTGAACCCGACACCCCAGGGAATAGTTCAGATATTTTATTGAAGACATCCATCACCTATGACCATATGTGCAAATATATGCATTAGGTATTTATCAAATGTATATATGAGTATCTAAAACATACATGGAACGTAATATGCATTAGATATTTCACGTGATGACTGCTCTCGTGTAGTGAAGCAAAAATTTCAGACAGCCAATAACATATGCAGACTTCATACTCAAAATTAAGATCAATAGACAAGAAGACATGTATCGGATGAAACTACGTTCTCACCTCCTTGTCGTTTTGATACTTTGCGATACTCAGTGGATTCTGAGAACACTGCAATAATCATAAAAGTCAGAGTGCACACACTTCAGGCCATAAAAGTGCATCTCTTTGAAACTTCAATAAATTCAAGATTAGATTTTTTTTTTTTTAAAAGTTAAAACAGAAAGGGAGCAAAAAGTGCATACATCCATGATGGCTGCTTGAACTCTTGGATTTTGGAAAGCCATAGCAACATCAGGATTAGCCATAATTTTCGAAATGACTTCCTCGGGAGTAAGCCCTATTTGATCTGCAATTTATAAAAATAACTAAATATGCAAAAGGAAAGTGCAAATCATATCATTTGTTAGTTTTGGCTATAGCAACTGCATGTAGAATTAGAAGTCTTCCAGACAGAAATCAAAAGGCAAAAAGTTAACTACTAGTGCAAGGTTACCAAGTCAAATTAGTAAATCCATCCTGTTTTATCAAGCTGCATATTAAGAAACAAATGGCAATGTTTCTTCAATATAAGCTCCACATGGGAGGAGTAATAGCATAGCCTAACCAGGAGGAGGGGGGGGAGGGGGGCTTGAGGGCAAATGCCACACATTTGATCCGGAAGATGACTGGCTGTGAAATCAACTTGTGAAGTATCAAAAATATTGTATTTTCACAGAAAAAGAGTTACTGGCGGTTTAATGCTGCGAGCTCGTCCAAGACGGAGAGAAAGACAGATTTAAAAGAATAAAAAGAAATAGCAGGATTCAGGGAGTAATATTAGTTTTCTTTATAAGATGAGGTTGCTAGACTTACCCGTGGTAAGCAATCTGCATGTTCAACTATATTGGAGGCTCTTTCAACTGGGAACCAATAGGGAGGGATACTCCTCGAGAGATCTCACATACAACATCACTACAAGGCCTCTAAATTACCCGCTTCAACACATTAAATCAGACGTAAAAAAGATGGTTTGAGACTAGCCCTAATGGAGTTCTAAGCAGTTATTTCTGCACCACACGTCATTAAGTATGCTCATTCACTTTTCATTTATGCCTAAAAAGCCTATAGTTTGTCCCGAAAAGACCACTCATAACATTAATGTCGTGTCCATTGAATATCTCAAAGAGTTTCTCCTCTGACTGCGACTTGTCACTATAAACTTGTAAAGCAATAGCAGAAAAGGAGTAACATTCTTTCCTCTTTTATATTAGAATAGCAACTTCATCAGAAGACTCTCATTATAAAAATTTCTTGTATTAAGACCCCATCAGGATAAAAGTCTGTTCTATATTTCTCCTGGATGAGATGGGTCATTTATCATGATAATACACGCAAAACATATATCGACGCTCAGAGGAATCCAGCTTTTGTCTAGACCCTATAGTCCCACCGCAGGATCAGAGAGCTATGGATATTAATGTTGCAAGTAGACCACGAAAAGAAGAAAATAACTAAAACTTACCAAATTGTTGCTTAATTTCAGGGCTGCTAAGATCAAAATTCTTCAAGGAATCCACCATGCGGTTGTCCCATTCTGGGTTTCCACCCATGTTATTCCTGGGAGGGGCAAATGATGAAAACCCTGATAAGCTTTTCATAGACATAAAAAGAAAGTTGTTTTAACACTGGAAATCCCTACCAAACCATAAATCAACAGATTATTTAACATTTATGTTCTCTTCCTCCTTTCTTTTCAAAATTGAGACCAAGACATACATAAAGGCAAGCAGATTGACAAAGAGTAGGTGGTCCCAAGCCCAAGAATATTTGAATCCAGACAGATAATTAATATCAGATGATATATATCGTTCCTTTTTATGATAGAATTGCAATTAGATGGACAAAGAATCAACAAGATGAAAAGGGTCCAACATGTACCAGTAAAATACATATATTGGGATGGAAAATATTTTCATGCAAGCTGAGAAGTTTAACCATATGAGGGCAGAAGCAAAAAGTCAAGTCTTTTTTCTTTCTTTTTTTGATAAGTGAGAAAAAAAAGGTCAAGTCTAGTTCGCACAAGTTCAACAAAAGCCTTGTTACTGCAGTAAATAAAGAGCAGTCCAAATACATCAGATCGAGCAGAGCTACACCAGAATATGTTTTCTTATACTTAAAGTAGTTATAGAATGGCATTAGATTCTATTTAAAAAGTTTTTGTGACAATGCTCATGGCAAAGCTCACCCGATGGCTGGGATACTAAATAGAATATAGTGCCAAACAGAGATTTCAGAAAAATAAATGACAATACAAGTACTGAATTTCGGTACAGAATATAGGGAAATATGCACTTGAAAGACAATTGAACCAGACTTACAGCATGTCCTGCAACTGTTGACGGTATTGTGGATTTTGTAGCATCCCTGTCAGAAAAATAGATGTAACACCCTCTTAGCTTATTTTTATCTGATAGAGATAGTAGATAAAGAAGCTTGAAAAATTATATCAATGAATCATATCATTATATAAATGCGGACTGTCATTTACCTCGACCTAATTAATGTATTCCTTTTTCTTATTTTAATCTTAAGGTAGATTTCTCTCACTACCAATGCTAGAAAGTTTCGGTTTTTTATAGCAAGTTATTAGATTGAAATCAACAAGGTTATAATGATGAATATCATTTTTACCCACTAACTTTTTTGTTGGAAAGGCACTAAACAGCCCTTCCCCTTTGCGCCTTTATATGCAATAGAAGAAAACTAGATAGTTGTATTTAGAATTAGCCAGACCGTATGAAGTATGACCTTTGTTCTAAAGGCCTGGCGAGTTACCTTTTTTTTTTAGTTTCAAGTCTCACAATAAATCAGAAAGACAAGTGTTCCCTGGTAAGATGAGAACACAGCAAAAAAAAAAAATTAATGGTATTTAACTCTTGTTCTCAATGATGCTACAACTTAGCAATTCACACAGAAACAGTCATTGACAAAAGAAGAATTGAATTTTACTCTAAAACCTGAGCCATGAGTTGATTGATAAAAGTTAACACAAACCAAAAAAAGAGAAGTTACATAATTTAGGCAATGCGTTACTGGGTGCATTGTCTGCACTTACATCCTTCAAGAGATCCATTAATGGTCAAAATTAAGGGTAGTAGCTGGGAAAGCATAGTTCATATGCATAGAAAAGAGCATCAGATGGCAGCTTACATTTAAATGTTGTAGGATTCCTCATCTCCTCCGGTAGATAGCTGCACCAAGTATCAAATGAAATGTTAGTTCTCGTCAAAATAAAGCACAAGTAATTTATACATACAAAACATGTCACATAAGATGAAAGGTCTGCGTATGGTCACAAGAAAAGCACAATAGAATGAACATAGAAGAAAAAACGTCACTTTAGATAAAACACCGCATTTGCCAACCTTGTATACAATCTAGTACTTTAATATGCATTAGCCAATTTATTCAGGGTTTTCTTAATTACACTTTTCCGGTCAATCCCAATCCACATCATTAAACACTTATTGCCAACAACCATCTTAGGTAACGTTTAATATTTTAAGTCCTACTCCATAGACCATCTAAATATCTTTTCAACACCATCCTCTAAGCGTCTCAATTCTCAAGTTAGTTCACTTCCTTCCATTATTACCAAAGTATAGCATGTTTGGCCAAGCTTCTCCAAAGCCAAAAACACTTTTTTCAAAAAAATGCCTTTTTCAAAGTTGAAGTGTTTGGCCAAGCTTTTAGAGGGAAAAAAAAACGCTTTTGAGTAGAAGGAGAAGCAGAAAAAAGTAGCTTCTCCCGGAAGCACTTTTTTGAAAAGCACTTTTGAGAAAAATACACTTAGAAGCACTTTTCCAAAGCTTGGCCAAACACTAATTGCTGCTCAGAAGTGTTTTTCAAATTAATTAGCCAAACACAAACTGTTTCTCACCAAAAATACTTTTGAAAAAAGTACTTCTCAAAATAAGCTGATTTTTGAAGCTTGGCCAAACAGGCTAGTAGTCTACATCACACTAACAGCCTATCGTACTTTCCTACCCTGTTAATTGAACACAATAATGAAAGGATATTCTCCCTGCTATGCCTTAGAGAGATTTAAAACTTAAATTCATACATAAGAACTTTGACTTCACTAGAAGTTCATTACTTCTTGATCGATAATGCAATACATAGTAGCATTGTGCAACTGAAACTAGAGTTTCGACCAATAAGGTACTATAATTAATTTGTAGTTAACAACAGCTTTACTTCACGCAAATTAAAATTCATCGACAAGGCCCATCCCGACAGCACATAGTAGTACAGAATAGCAAAAGAGTTAACTTGGGTAGAACTTTAAAATCCTAGAATATTCAGGTCATACCTAAGAAAAATTTACTTTCTCATTTGTATTCTTTCAGCTTTATCTTTGCTAGAGCTCCAGTTGACAGCACTACAGTATGAAATCAACGGGAATCATCACAAGTCACAGATGAATCAGCCTTTGGATGCTGGGTCCAGATGTCACAACCCAAGCACATGTTACATATTTTCTGCTTTGGCTTAATAGACCTCACGAATTTGTCCCTTGGACTACACTACGTTGAGCCCAAAAGCACGCGTACTATGTGAATTTATGCTATTTGCTACATACTTTTTCCTCCTTTCTGATGAGGAATTTGCCTAAGATGTCATATGCGTCCTTTCTCCGGAAGCTTGTCAGCTTAGAAGCCTACTATTATTTCTCCTTGACCCGTCCTCCTCACTAAGGATTTCCCCCCATCATACTATGAGAGTTTAACTCTTATAACATATTTGTCACAACCCAAGCCCATGGGACGTATTGTCCTCTTTGACCCAACAGAGCTCAGAGATGTGTCCTTAGGACTTCCCTTTGGAGACTTGCCAACTTAGAATCCTGCAAGTCCTTCTCCTTGATCTGCCCTCCATTATGAGCATCACACCAGACATTATTTTTGCCCATAAGGATAGAATGAACAAGATATCTTATCTAAGGTTTTACAACAAAATTTTCTATGTTAAAATTTCAATAGCATGACGTAGGACGAAAAGGAATTCAAATGTTCTAATGAGTCAAGGAAGATATCATTCAGAACGCTAAGTAATCTAGACATTGCAAATATTCAAGTTAATCAAACAAAACTAATAGAGCATAACAGAAAAGGTACATGCTATCTTACGGGTAAACCATCTTCTGCACTGTTGGATCTTCCATCATTTTCTCCAGAGCATCCACTGACATTAGCGGGTTTGATTTTTCTGTTCAAGAAAGAATATCATGCAAAGGTTTCCACTGGCTGAGAAGCAGAGAGCATGAAAGGAAATTTTATTTGTTTTCCCATAAATAAAAAGTCGAAGGGAAATTAGGCCAGAAGAAACATTTTCTTAATAATAAACAGACATGATCAAATAAGCAGTGGAGTATGTGCCATTTGAAACCTCCAACTTCAAAACAAATAATGCACCCAAAATTTTCATCCATCCAAAAATCCATAATAAAACAAAGATATAATGTAAGAAATAGGTCATTTTCCGTGGAATATGCCCGTTAAAGCAGTTTCCATTAATTACGATAGTTCTACACAGGTTTCTAGAGAAGGCAATATTCAGGTCATTACAAAGACTACAGTTTCTGACTGGCTGTTCATGCTTTTTTGCCTGCATCTGATCGATGCAGTATCTCATACAACATGGATCCATAGACTGACAAGTGTTTAACCACTTCTAAATTCTAATTGTACATAGATATGATCGTGCCTTTATGCCTTATTGGATTAGGATACATATTGAAAACACAAAATGTAATCTCTTAAAGTCTTGTACCCTGTTGATTTACCAAAATACCTCTATGTATCCAGGTAGTGCTACAAACATACTGAATGTACTTTTGACCTGATGCATGAATGATATTTGCAGTATGACAGCCATGCCTTAAGGGCAGGACGAGCAGATGATTTACCAGTTGATGAGGTACTATCAGATGTATTTGCACCAAAACCGGTACTGTCAGATGTATTTGCACCAAATCCCGACTTTGAAGCAGCCCCATTTTGAGTTACCTTATAGACATTAAAAAAACTATTGAAGTACGATTGTTATATGACACCATATTCTCAGATAATAGCTCTACCGACTCACCTGATCAACAGTTACTGAAGCTGTCTCATTTGATTCTTTATAATTTTCGAAAGCACCCTTTTGGAATGTTTCATCGGGAGATATGTCAATAAAAGCTGCAGAGAAGTTCCATTAATAGATATAATATCAAAACCAGCAAACCTAAATATCTTTGTAAGAGTAATACGAAATGCATCACTATCCCAAAGTGGTACTAACTTGGGAAATAAGAGAGAGGATGAGCATTCTTATAATTATGGTACAAACAAAAGTGAACTCCCCTGACATCATTAATTCCTTTTATGGACCATTTCTCGATTTGTGTGTGACATCCTTGCGCTGGCAGGGCCATGATAATCTTCTCTATATTTGTTCCAATTTTATCGGATGTCCCCACTACAACTGAACTCATGTATCCATTTCTACTGTCCCACAATGGATGTTAGCATTTAAGAAAAGCTGTCAGGAAAAGGATACAGTTGCAAAACCTGCTTTGTTTCCACACAGCATTCTGCTCCTTTTCTTTTCCTTTTTTTTTTTGAAGAGGTGGTTAATCTGGGATATCAGTGGAGTCTAAAATTTGGTTCTGGTGACGGACTGTTGACAAATGCAGGCCAGAAATCTTTTGATTATTGAGGCATTTATCAAAACAAAAATCATGATTGAGGCACAGATAAAAGAAGTTGTTAAACTGATTTAATTTAAGCTCGAAGAAATGGAAAAGGAACCTTTTTCCCCTAGCTCAATCCTTTTACGCTTTAATGTAGAGCTTTTCCCCAATCCAGCATTCCCCTGCTTGCCTCTTGTCAGCAACGGACTCTAGTAATTTCATGAGGGGGTTAGGTTTCTACAGGAGGGGGTGATAAGGGCTTAGGGTTTGTACACTTGCAGAACCACAGCAAAGCTGGCAAAACGGGGTGATGTGGATGAATTCTCATTTAGAAGATCAGAAGTTCACGTAATGACCACATCATGGTACTCCAGATTCTTGAGCTGTAGATGGTTGAGGGGTAGTGTTTGTTGCTGACAACTCCAAAACCAGAAACGAAGTTGAAAACTTTTCTGGTATGGAATCGTAGTCTATAATATAATTAGAATTATGATTTAAGCTTACCCATTAACTAGTGATGTTTTTAATATCAATGGCTAATTGCTGGTTAATTTTAAAATTTAGACGATAACTTGCTAATTTAAGATAGTAATAGTGGCCTCACTGATTTACTCCAATATCTTTCAGGTTAATGAGACAAATCTAAGTTAAGGTTGATCAAAGCTTGGAACATACAAGGCTTTGAACGCACAAGGCTTTTTAAGGGTAAGTGTCAAAAGAGGCATTCGATGAACCTGCCTTGTAGCTAGAACTGCTTTTTTTTCTATATAAAAAAAAAAAAGCAAAAGCTAGAAGTAACTATCAATTATATTACCATTTTTCTTTGGTACCCTTTCAGCTTCTGTATCATTCTTCTTGACATTTACAGCTGGAGGTTCCTCCACTTTGGTTGCGGACACATCAACAGTAACCGGCTGAGATGCAAATGAAGCTGATGATGCAGGTGGTGTAGGTGATGAACTAGCTGCACCTGACATTGGAGGTGGTGGTGGGAACGGAAAAGGTGACCCAGGTGAAAAAGCAGTGTTACTAAATGGACTATTCTGGTTACTATTCATTTGCCCCATCATTGTTTTGAATGCTTGCTGCATTGCGTACTTCTGGAGGAATATGCAGGAGTAGTTAGACATATATGAAAGATCTGGTTTTATCGAATTTCTATAGCTAAACCAATGAAAAAGGGTTTCCTTTGAGCAACGGCAAAGTTATCTCCGTGTGACTCTTAGGTCACGGGTTCAAGCTGTGGAATCAGCCACGGGTGCTTGCATTAGGGTAAGTTGCCTACCTCACACCCTCTTTAGGTGCGGTCCTTCCCCGGACCCTGCGTAAACGCGGGATGCTTCGTGCACCGGGTTGCTCTTTTTTTCTATAGCTAAACCAACTACAACATCTGACATTTGAAGAATCTGAAAGTAGTTTAAACACTATTTTCCGCCATAAAGAATAAAAGAGCAACCACCGGATTTATGTTTACCTGAGCAAGTATTGTATATACAATCCGGTTTTGACTCATTAGCAGGAATAATTTAGTTGTTTAAAATGAGGAAAATGCCAAGCTAATTATCTTAAAGCTCACAGATACAAGAACAAAATCAACTAAATGAAACAGCAAGAGTTAGGACTCTCAAACAAAAAGACAAGTATAGTGACATAGCTAGAAAAATAATTAAGGATATTATTGGCCTTCCAAAACCAGATTTGCAATTATTTGCAAGAGACGGAACATGGTTTGAATTACTTGCAAAGCATGAAACTGACATGTAAATTGCAGGCACCATCAACTTACGCATAGTTCCCATTCTTTTCTTGCTTATATGCTTTTTGGCCCTTTCTTCTTAACATGTGGTTAATTCTATAACACATTATTGCTCAGAAGGTATGTCCCATCATGTCCATGTCAGATTATCGACAAGTTACGTGCATATTTGCATCTAAAGGCTAAACTCTCTAGCTGTCACTCTGTTAGTAGGGCCATAAGAAATAACAGAATTAGACAAGCATCAAATCCATGCAAATTTTAATTAAAAAGTACTTGCCTTTAGGTATGAAGCCACCTGCAATATATTTCAAAAAATCCAGTAAAGAGTTAGTAAAACAAAACAAAATGAATAAACAAGAGTGCAACAAATAAAATCAAGAGAATTATCCTTCCCACCCATGAGAAAAGTGCTGAGAGCCCAACACCAACTCCAATCCAAAAAAGAGGAGACCCTCTGTAGACACAAAAAAACAACAATGAATAAGTAACAAATCAAAAGATATTAATTATCAATGCAGATGCAAACAGTATAAGAATAACGTGTAAAGCAAGAAACTGATAGGCAAAGTTGTAGACAAGATAAAACATATCAAATGGGGAATAATACAAATTATTACACTTGAGACGATGGTGATGGAGCTGAAAATTGTGGATTTACACCAACTGAAGAGGTCTGCTGGCCACCTGAAGTTGTGCTAGCAAAACAATCTCTCCCTATTTTTTCTGGCACTGCATAGAATCAGTACAAAGGGAGGTTAAGGCTTAAGAAGCAGCAGAATTAATAACAAGAATATAACATTAAAAAGTCCCAACAATAGTAAGCCCCCGTTTGGCCATAGATTTTGTCAAGTTTTTCCAAATTGTTTTTGGCAAAACATGTTTGTTTATAGATTTTATCCATATTTTGGCAGATTTTAAAAACAAAATTTCCAAATCCCAAAACTAGATCTAAACCTGTTTTTGGCCCAAAATATTATTGTTTGATTTTTTAACAATTTTAAAAATTACCCCAAAAATTTGTATTTTATAAAAAAAACACCATCTATTATGACCCAACTAATCCACCAGCTAATTACTATCATTTTCTTTTGGATTGATGGATCTTGTAATATTATTGCAATTTGACGAATTATTGTGGTTGGTAATTGTGTTATTAGCATTTGATATTAAAATATCAGGTTATGGTTTTAGGATAGTGTATTATGTAGTTCATTATAAAAATTATAATTTTGTGCCAAACTTATCTACGTTCAGGACTATGGTTTGGGATAATGATAATGAATGGCATCAATGAATGTTCTGCATATACAGGATAAGCAAGTTTGTTTGTTGGGTATTGTTGGGTATTTTTGATAGTTTTTAGAACTTATGGGTATAAGTAACATTTCATGTTTTTTCAAAAAAACAAAGTGAAATATGTTCTGAAAAATTATGTCCAAACAGATTTTCATCTTCAAACCAAACTTCACCCAAATCAGATTTTTTAAAACAAATTTGGGAATCTATGGCCAAACACTAGCTAAGAAACTTGGGACAAGAGAAGTGACTGTCCCTTCCAGGTGATACTCCTTGAATTATTCTTCACGATATAGCAGTTCTATGAATAGTATGTCTGTTTCCAACAACAAGCTCTTTTTTATTTGGTCATCTAGCCAGATATAAAGCATATCAAAGTTGTAGCAGCAACAACCTCTGAGAAATTTCACATTACCCATAGAAACATGACGCCAATGAGCTTAAGCGCAATAACCATCTTGTAATATATTTTAAAACAAATGTCTTATTGGAAAATTTGATCTGGCAATTGAATCGGGCCAACAGTAACTTTTTCTCTGACAGAAAAAGATATCACATATTGGAATCATTCTTTCAACAAGTAAAACCCATCCAAATTTCAAAATGCATGTTTCTTAAAACCCTAAAAGCGTTTTCAAAATAGGTTTGAAAAATACAAATGTAAAAAAGCTAAGATGAAAATACCGAAGAAAAGAAAGAAAAATATTATCTGATGTCAATATTTTCCTTTTCTTTTCTTCGGTATTTTATTTTTCAAACCTGTTTTGAAAACGCTTTTCTTGTGCCGAGAGTCTATCGGAAACAACCTCTCTACCTCAAACGAGGTAGGGGTAAGGTCTGTGTACACCCCACCCACTGGGTATGTTGTTGTTGTTGAATGGAACATTAGCTTGTTTGAGATTTATAACCACATTTGATCTCTTAAATAAAGTTACTAGACAAATAAGATGCTCTACTTGTGATACTTTAGAGGACACTTTTATCTTTAGACCTTTTCTCCTTTTCCTTTTTTTCCCTTTATCCAAGTGATGTGTATGCATTGGATAGACTATTGGAGCGCTCTGTTCTTGCGTGCCTAGTTCAAGCCCTAAAGGTATGATTTCAGAAGGTATATTATTACAGCAGCATAACTTAAGCCCTATGATTTTAATGATGACAACAATCTTTACCTGGAAAAGGATATGTCTGTCACTAAGAAGTTAAGTTTTGAATGCAGGCACGAAAATATGCAAGTTAGATCAGGTGCAAATCAGTCAAGGAAAATCAACAACAGGCTGAAAAACAAGTCGCGTACAAGAAAACTAAGCTATGATTGATGGAAGAAAATGATTTTCTAGAAGGCGACCAAATTATTCCTCCAATGGAAAGCGAGATTCAGCAGTCGTGTTTCAAGAACACAATTCACCAATCACCCCCACCCCTTGAGTTTTCACACAAAACTCGAGAGTGAGTTTTCACCAATTTAGGAGAATTGAAATAATGGAAACAGCTCGAGAATGAGTTTTCACCAATTACGGGAAAATGATGCAGAAACAACTCAAAATAGGAAAATCTTTCCTCCTAGAGATGTGAGCTTTTAGCCATATTTTTATAGTTTAGGTTGAGATTTATGTACTGTTTCTTTTTTACAGGCTACTCTGAGGCTTAGAATATTTATATCGGCAATTAGGTGTTCTGCAGTAAAATTGCATGTAATCTAGCCAATTCGACTATAGGTGAAGTCCAACTTGTCTTAAAAATCAACTTACAACAGTTTCTTATCCTGTTAACAATTCTAAAATATGGGGAAGCTGGAAACTTAGATAATTATGTAATCTTTCTGGTCAAATGAATTATAATAGGATACATGTGAGCTTCAGATAAACACACACATACACACAAACATCTGGGTAATGAACTTCTACTAAAAGAATCAATTTTTAGACAAAAAGATATCAGAATTATGCAGTTTCAAGTTATTGAATAAACCAAAAAAGTACCTCACAATACCAAAATTTCAAAAGGTTATCTTCAAAGACAGCTCCACTTCTACTATAAGTTGCAATAAGGCTTCAGATAAACACATATATACACACAAAAAATCACTAAAAGATCAATTTTTTACATGAGTAGAAATTAGAATTGTGCATCTCCCAACCATTAAATAACCCCGAAAAAAACTCATAATACCAAAATTTCAAATAATTAACTTCAAAGACAGCTCCTTTTGGGTAATGAACTTCTAGTCTAAAAGATGAAATAAAGCTTCAAATAAACACAGAATATATAAAGGACATTGAGGACTAGTATAAAGAAGGAGTATATATTACCAATCTTTTTGGTGAGTCTTGGACCCTGAAAACAAGAGACAACTTCAAAACAAGTAGTGGGTCTGACAATTCTTGCATTCTTTGAGGGTCTTTTGGGTAGATGAGGAAGACCAAAGAAGGGTTTGCTGGTAATTACTGAATTCCTTGGATTTGAAGAGAGACCCAATACCATTTTCGGTGATGAAACTATTCCTATGTTCTCCATCACCTTGAAAAAATACTGAATAAAAATTTGCTGCTACTTCAGCTTATTACTATAGAGAAGGAGAGCAGAAGTGCAAAAGGGTCTCTCCTATTTGGCTTATTTTTGGAGGTTCCCGAAGAAGAGAGAGACAGTGAAGTGAGATATCGGCAGGCAGAAGAACAGTGTTAAGAATTGAAAACGGAGCGGGTTATATGGATAGGTTTTGCAGCTTCTTTTTGCCCCACCCGTGTATAAGGCTTTCTTTTGGACGTCAAAGTAGTAGTCAAAGCTAAGAGATACGGAGAACCAAGAGGGTCGGGAAAATCGCACTGTATAGCCGCTGTAAAAATAATAATCAAAAAAATATATAAAATTTATATATTTTTTATATATATATATACATTATGTATATTATATACAAAATTTATACAAATTTTATATATTTTTTCGGCTACCAAATGTAAATAATTTCTGATGCAGACTAAAAATGATAATACCCCTAAGGGGTCGAAGGATAAGGAAAAATAATTTTGGGTTAAAAATTAGTAGTATTGCTTTATATCTTGTTTGATTACTGATTTTGAGATAAGTTATTCCAATATTAAAAATAGTACTGGAATAACTTATACTTGCCAAATGTTGGAACATCAATTCAGGATAAGTTATCCTAGGATAAAGCAGTAACATTGATAATCTTACGATTAATACAACATATCAAACAGTCAATAATAAATAATATCAGAACAATTATTACCAGCATAACTAGCTAATCTGAACATAATTAATCGTAGCATAACTTGTCTTCAAACCAAACGGCCCCTAAAAGTTAATAAGTTTATTCATCTTGTGATTAATGTGTGAGTAATAATATTTACAGAAAAGGGTCAAATATACCCCTCTGTTTTATTGTACCCTGCGTTTTATAAATACACTAATAATAAAACGGAGGGTAAGTTTAAATAATTTTTGATAGTAGAAGGTATACTTAACCCCTTTCCGTGATATTTTATGAATGAGAAACATGCATGCCTTGGGTTATGTCGAAACCCTTGTTAGGTTGATTATTTCCAGAAATTGAAAGAAATGAAGAGAAAGAAAACCCTAGATCGGGTGAGATGAGAGAGAATAAGAAGAATGTTTTTATTTCATCATTTGTGTAAAATGAATCTGTTACCAAAATTAATAAATCACCCATACTATAAAAATGTGCCTAATATACTAATGGGCCAGCTGTACATATTGGGCCCATTACTACTTATCAACCATTGGGCCTCTCTTCATATGTGCTCTATTCAGCTCAACACCCCCACTCAAGCTTGAGGGTGTTGACACCCCAAGCTTGCCAAGCAGATGATGATGAGTGGTGCCTGGAAGGGACTTAGTGAGAATGTCAGCAAGTTGAGAAGAAGAAGAAATATGATGTAAAGTGATGAGACCAAATTGTAGGATATCCCGAACATAGTGACAATCAACTTCAATGTGTTTAGTGTGTTCATGTAATACTGGATTCCTGGCTATATGCAAAGTAGCTTGGCTATCACAAAACACAGGAACAGGATTGGAAATAACCAACCCAAGATCAGCCAGCAATCGAACAAGCCATGAAATCTCAGCAACCACTTTGCGTAGAGCTCTATACTCTGTCTCAGCAGATGAGAGAGATATAGTAGGTTGTTTCTTGCTTTTCGAAGAGATAGGACAACCCCCTAAGGTAATGTAATACCCAATGACAGACTTTCGAGTCTGGGCACAAGTGGACCAGTCAGAATCAGAGTAAGCTAAGAGAGAAAGATCAGTAGACTTAGGAAGGAAAATACCCAAATCAGGAGCATTCATCAGATACCTCAAAACATGTATACCAGCCAGCATGTGAGGAACTTGAGGAGCTTGAAGAAACTAACTAAGGTGTTGGACTGAGTATGCAATATCAGGCCTTGTATGGCATAAGAAATTGAGCTTGCCCACAATCCTTCTGTAGATGCTAGGATCAGAAATGGGCTCCCCCATATTAGAAGATAGTTTGATGGAATGATCAAGAGTAGTATTGACAGGAGTGAAATGATCACAGTGAAACTCCTCCAATAGATCATTTGTAAATTTGTGTTGACACATCAAGAAACCTTGGGGTTGTTGGAGAACTTCCAAACCCAAGAAATAGTAAACACAACCTAAGTCTTTGATTTTGAAAGTAGCATCCAGAAAAGCCTTAAGAGCATCCAATTCAAAAATATCATCTCCTGCCAATAAGATGTCATATACATACACTGCTAAGACTATCAAGGAGCCACCAGAGGACTTTGTGAACAATGAATAATCATTTTTGCTGGAAATATAACCTCTGGAACACAAGGCTTTAGACAATTTAGAGAACCACTGTCTGGAGGCCTGTTTGAGGCCATAGAGAGACTTCTTGAGTTTGCAAACTAGTGGAGAAGAGGAGGAAGAATGACCAGGAACCATTAGACCAGGAGGCAGACCATGAAGAAAAACATTATTGACATCTAGTTGATAAACAGTCCACCCCTTTTTAGCAGCAAGAGAGAGTGAGCACTTGATAGTGGTGAATTTAACAACTGGGGAAAAAGTCTCATTATAATCTATCCCTTCCTTTTGTGTGTCACCCCTTATGACTAATCTGGCTCTGTATCTTTCAATAGTGCCATCAAATTTCTGTTTAATCTTGTGCACCCACTTACAAGGAATGGATTTCTTGTGAGGAGGGAGAGGAACAACATCCCAAGTGTGGTTAGCTTCAAGAGCTTGGAACTCTTTTAGCATGGCTGCTTGCCAAGCAGGATGTGAGGCAGCCTGTTGATAATATTGAGGTTCCTGCAGCTGTAGCTCAGAAGTGGAAACCTTGGAATTTATAAAGACAGGGTTGGCAGAAAGAACAAAAGAACAGACATAATCTGGCAAGTAGGAAGGAGGGTTGGACACCCTGGTAGAATGCCTAACAAGCAAGGTGTTAGAAGGAGGAACATGAGCATTGAGAGGAGGAGAGACAAAGGAAGAAACAGGTATAACAAGTGGTTCTTGATGGTAGGAGGAACAAGTAGAAGGATCATGATGTGATTCTTGAGGTACAACAGAAATATCATCAGGAGAAGTTAGTAAAGGAGCAGTGGAAATAAAAGAGGATCTTCAAAGGAATCAGAAGAAGAAGGGAAAACAGAAGAAGATGGGGCAGAGGAAGAGGGAAAGATGTGTTCATGGAAAACTACATCTATGGGAAAAATACATAATGAGTAGAGAGATTAAGCAATTTATATCCCTTTTTCCCAAAGGGATAGCCCAGAAAAACACAAGCAACAGCCCTAAACTGGAATTTGTCTCTTCCAGATTTATGGGTAGTTGCAAAACAAAGATAGGTGATCATATGTAGGAGGAGTTCCATGCAGTTTTTCAAAAGGAGTAGCATTAGTCAAAATAGATGAATGTACTCTATTGACAATGTAGGTTGCAGTTAACACACATTCACCCCAATATTTGGTAGGGAGTTTAGATTGAAACAAAAGGGCTCTAGAAGTTTCCAAAAGATATTTGTGTTTCCTTTCAACCACACCATTTTGTTGTGGGGTGTGAGGTATAGTGGTTTAGTGTAAAATGCCATTATCAGCAAAGAAGGATATAGCCTCTGAACTACTACCTAATTCAAAAGTATTGTCTGATCTAAAAGATTGAACAAAAGACCTAAAATGGACTTTGACCATCATAGTGAAAGCTTTGATTACAGAAAAGGCGTTGCCTTTGGAAGAAAATAAGTGTGTCTAGGTGACTCTAGTAAAATCATCAACCAAAGTAATAAAATATCTGAAACCATTGTATGTATTAGTGTGGTAAGGTCCCCATATATCTATATGGACTAACTGGAAAGGTACAATTAAATGAATGTGACTATCATAGAAAGGTAGTCTTTGTTGCCTAGCCATAGGACAAATAGAACATACAAATGATTGTTTAGAAGATACTTGAGTAGAAAAACATGGAATAGATTTCAGCTTATGAAATGGCATATGGCCTAACCTTTGATGTCAAAATAGATCCATTTTATTGATAGTACTAGATGAGTTACAAGTAGAGCTGGGAAAACAAGGGATAACCTTTGCTGTAGATGAATTACAAACAGTAGAACAAGAAGCATTAGAAGAAAATGAAGGGGTAACCATACCAGGTAGCAGAAAATAGAGCCCATAAGCAGCTTTACCAATTTTCAATGGCCTCTTCAGAGAAGGGCCCTGTAGAAAACAAGAGAAACTGCTGAAGATTGCTAGACCTTTCAATTGACAAATGAGTTTATGTACTGAAATTAAATTGAATTGAAAAGAAGGAACCAAAAGAACATTGTGTAAAGTTATATCATGCCTAAGATGCAGGGATCTAGTAGAAATAACTTTCACTTTATACCCATTTGGTAAGGTGATTAAGTAAGGAGAAGGTAAAGGTTTAATATTGTTTAAAAACTATTTGTGAGGGGTCATATGATTTATGGCACCTGAATCTAAAATCCAAGAAATTCTTCCTAACCGAGCAGACAAAGAATGCATAATAGAATTTACTGCAGGAAACTGATTTACAAGGAGATTGCACACACCTGCAAAGTTGGCAAGACCAATATTTTCTCCAGGAGAAGTGGACTGAGGATAACCAGAAGAAATATTTGCTTGTTGGAAGAGAGTCAATGAGATGTTCATATTGCTCCTTGCTGAATCCATAAGCAGAGTCTGAAGAATTGTTACTAGTGCCAGTAGCAATCAAGTTTCTTGGAGAAGAATCCCCCACTTGAACACATACAGCAGACCTCTTGGACTTAGTGAACTTGAAATCAGCTGGAAACCCATGGAGTCTATAGCATTTTTTTACACTATGCACAGGCTTCTTGCAATATTTGCAAGTTACAGGAGAAGTAGACTTCTTAGACTCAAAATTTACCATCTGATTATATGGCATATTGGTGGAAGAAGATATGCCAGATGAAGCAGAGAATGAGGCTGTTGAATCAGCTGAAAACCCAGGAGCTATGGACTTAGCTTCCTTTTGATTTTCATCTTGTTGTAAAAGTGAATAAGCTTTGATGATGCTTGGATAAAGAGACATCATTAAAATGCTACTTTTGACTGTAGAGTAGGACTCATTTAACCCACTGAGAAACTGAAATAGGTGTTGGTCCTCAATGAATTTAGGAAGTGCACCACATGAACATGTTGGTCCAACATAGGCAGAATTGAGCTCATCCCAGAAACTCCTCATTCTGGTAAAGTAACTAGCTATATCAGATGTCCCTTGAGAGGTACTACTAATTTTTCTCTGATTTTGGATATATTTGGAACCATTTGACTGACCATACCTATCATTTATGTCTCTTCAGACTTCACTAACAGTGTTGAAACACATAACGCTCAGAGCAATTTCTCTAGTCAAGGAGTTAGTAATTCAAGCCTTGACCATGTTATTGCAACGCTCCCAAAAAGGATAATAAGGAGAATCAGGTTGAGGTTGAGGTATCCTACCAGTTACCAACCCTAACTTGTTTTTAGCTGAGAAAGTGGTCAACATACTGCTACGCCAAATAACGAAGCCAGTTCCATTAAATCCATAGCAGAATCACGTTAAATTTATCTATTGTCTATTTGCAATTAATGTTTAGTTAATTAATCATAATTCATACATGATCAATTGAGACGAGAATATAGATAAACTAACGATGACAAATAATAAACTTGTATATAAAGGATATTGATATGCATGCATTATATAAATTAATTACGCGTGGGTAAATTTCAACCCCAAACCTCAAGTCCCTAATGATTCAATTGATGGTGCATGTCATTCATTAATGGGAGTACTTGCTACCGTTTGTTTGCCTTTTTTTTTTTCGTTTCCCGCCCGGTGTCCAGTACCTATATTGGGGTCCGATTAAATCCGGATTCGCACCGAAAAGTTCCACATTGGGGTAAAGCGCTCCCTAACAAAAGGTGACTCCATAATCAGAACTCAAACCTGAGACCTCTGATTAACAATGAATGAGTACTTACCACTCCGCCACAACCCTTGTTGGTTGTTTGGCTTTATTTGTTAACAAATGTGTCAATTGTCCATTCTTAATGACTTCCACCACAATTCCAAATGAAGGGAGTAGCAAATTTATTAACTTAAGGGGGCTAAGAAGTGTACAACTTCAGTCATATTATTGTTCAATCTGGAAGTGTTTGATATTTTTAACTCTTAATTGGTTAAAGGCGGGTCGACTAGTAAATAGTAAAACTCATGTGCAGTCAGTTGAAAAGTAGTTAATTAGATTAGCAGGCGATATTTATTTGAAAGGAAGGGAAATAGATTATTTTGCCTTTGTATTGCTCAATATGACAGAAATGAAGACCCCTCTTCCTTGCTGTCTACATATTCTTCTCTGAGTTTCTGTTTAAATTGAGTGAAATCCATTTACATGTGCTAGATCATTGAATTGCTAGATTAGCTCAAATTAACATAACTACTACCAGAAAATTACGACTTGAGCTTTTGAGAAGTAGCATTCGTGAAAAAATATGAATAGAACTTAACAATTAGAAAATCAATCCAAGAACGAAAAAGAAACAGATCAAATATATATGATACTACTTCCCAATTATGACTACATTTACATTATTTTCATCACTTTTCACTACTTTCTAGGTACAAAAGACCAAGTATATTAATTATAAATCACACCCCATGATTTATTAGGATTACAAGAAATACAGTTTGACGCATAAAGTATCCTGTATTCACGCAGAATTCGAATGATGTGAAACTAATTCAAGCTATCAAAGCCATTAGAGCTCCTCTTTAACGGAAGGAGAAGAGTTTTTTCCTTCTTCTTTGGTCTCAATGGCGACAACTTTAGGACCCTTAATTTTGTCAGGAGACAACTTAGCAAAAGAAATAGTTAGCACCCCATTCTCAAGCTTAGCTTTGAGAGTATCAATATCAGCATTTTCGGGCAGACGGAACTGCCTCCAAAACTTCCCGTAGCTCCTTTCAACACAGTGCCAATGATCATCTTTCTTCTCTTCTTCTTTCTTCCTCTCTCCACTCACCCTCAACACCCTATTTTCCTCCACCTCTATCTTTATCTCTTCTTTCTTTAAACCTGGAACGTCTACTGTTACCACGTGTCCCTCATGCGTTTCTTTCCAGTCTACTTTTGCAACGGACAGAGTCTCGTCTCTGGTTTCTAGTCCTAAGGGTATCTGTTCCAACATTCTGAATGGATCAAGAAATGTTTCACTTAGTAGACTACTGGGAGTATTGGCCATTTGGTCCAAGAATAATGGTAGAATTGATCCTTCTGAAACTAATGCCACTTGCAATATGCAGCCAACTGAAAAGATAAAAAATGGAATATTATTTTTGCTGAGCCTCATCCTTGCAAGCTTTGACGATCTTCTTCGTTTTCTTTCTCTTTTTGTGTTTGGTTCTGTGATGTGGTAGATGATATTAATATCCACTGGCTAGCTAGTTTGTTTGACTGGGAACAGCTAACGGGTTTAATGGTGCATTATATATAGAGAGAAAATATTTATGAGGATAGAGAGAGGGGTACAGTTTTAAGAATCTTGAAAGTTCCGAAATTGTTGAGAGAGTTCTTTGTGCAAGAAACTTCCAGCAACTTACAGGAAAGTAAAAGTGGGAAGAGGAAGGGGCATATCTTTCGAGTTTCGAGAGGCTTCTTGAGATGTGTCTACTAAAAAAGGTTCATGCTATGTAGAATTTTATGACTAACAATCCACAAACAAAGACGTCACAATAAGGAATAATTAATCTTATAATTAAATTTAATATGAATTTATCTAATATTTGGTTGAGATAAAATTACGATATAGCTAATTTTGAAATTAGTTATTTTGGAATTTAATATTATTTTGATCCCTATGAAAGGGTAGAATAATAATCACCGAATTAGTAATTCCGAATATTTAATTCTAAAATAATTTGTTTCCTAATAAAACGACCCTTCAAGTTGCATCTTAACATTATTGATATTCCTAGTAAATGTGTTGGTTTCTCCCTTCAGAAAGATTTTTTATATATAAGAATTTAAAGCTTAGAAGTTACTTACTAGAGATATATTGTGGACAAAAGGCCCCCGAGACACTATTTTTTGGACCCCTCTTTATTTTTTATTTAAGTTTTGCCCAGAAAAATGTTAAGCGGGGATTTAAGTTTGATCGGGGGCTATTTTGAATTTTTTAAAACTTCTAGGGTAAACTTAAAATTCAAGAAATAAATCAAAATGTTATAAGAAATATTAAATTATGGTGGATGTCTACTCTTCCTTCATGATTTTCATCTCAATTAATCGTGGCTACTTAATCTAATCATGCTAAGATAATTGCTATTCATGAAGCAAGTCGAGAATGTATATGGTTGAGGTCTATAATACATCTTATTAGAGACAAATATGGTTTGAAGTGTGACAAACTATCCACAATTTTGTATGAAGACAATGCAGCATGCATAACCCAATTAAAGGGAGGATTCATAAAAGGAGATAGGACAAAACACATTTCACCAAAGTTATTTTTCACACATGATCTTCAAAAGAATGGTGATATCAATGTGCAACAGATTCGTTCAGGTGATAATATGGCTGATTTGTTCACCAAATCTCTACCGACGTCAACCTTCAAGAACTAGTGTACAAGATTGGGATGCGAAGGCTCAAGGATGTGAATTGATGCTCTCATCAGGAGGAGTTAATACGCCTTGTACTCTTTTTCCCTTACAAGGTTTTGTCCCACTTAGATTTTCCTTGAAGGTTTTTAACGAGGCAACCAAAAGGCGTATTTATAAACATGTGTACTCTTTTTCCTTCACTAGGATTTTTTAGAGGGTTTTTTCCTAATAAGGTTTTAACGAGGCACATTATCTATGGACATTCAAGGGGGAGTGTTATAAGAAAAATAAAATTATGGCGGATGTCTACTCTTCCTTCATGATTTTCATCTCAAATGCTTAATGACATATTCAATGACATATTTTTCTTCACTTTTCATGCCTATATAAAGGCCTTGTAATAGATAGGAAAATATACACAATTGAAGAAGAAATAAGAATCTCTCCTCTCTTTCTCTCTATATCTCTTAGCTTGTTTTTTCTTGTTCTATATTGTTACTTTGAGCTATATTTCATAACACAAAATCAATTCTTCGCCTAAGCTTGAGCATTAATTGGCAGCTTTTCCACTCTACTTCTTCTATCTTCATCTTCATTGCCCACTTTTTGATTGCAAATTTGATTGATTTAATTGTTTCTTGTCTCTAAAAGTTTTAAAGTTAAACATTGTATTCATTATACGTGAAAGAACTTGAGCTTGAAACTTGAAGAAGAAGAAGAACAAAACTCCATTAAAGCTCATTTTGAAGCTTGGTTGGGAGATTGGATTTTGCAAAAATATTGTTTGTTTGGATCGGATATTGTTACAATAGATTGGGTCCATCTTGGAGAGCTTATCTCAATTTTGAGGGAGTTTGATGAAGATTTAAGATAGTTTTGGATGAAATTTCAGATTTGAACTTGAGGTTGAAGATGAACAGTTCAGATTTATGTTTAACATCTATAATAGATCTTAAAAGTCTATACTAAAATGGTTTTGAAATTTATTATAGATCACAACATATTTTCTAAAATTTATTATAAGCATATTTAGGTCGTTTAGTATAGACTAAGTTAAACTCGTTTTGTATAGACCGTTAAAATTTATTATAGACCTTAAACATAAATCTAAAATGTCCATGTTAAAAACTTAAACTTCAAGCTCAAATATGAAATTTCACCCGAATCCACCTTAAATCTTTTTCAAACTCTCTCAAATTTGAAATTTAGACCCCTCAAAAGATCCCAACGAAACCCAATAACATCAACTCGAAATAGCTCATACTTTTTAAACACCCAGTTTTTAAGATTGAAGCTCAAGTTTCAACAATGACTGTCATCGGAGCATTTCAGATGTTCTTTTGATCTAGAAGGCGAAAGAAAAATACGCAGGAATGGATTGAGGGAGAAAAATATATCTTTATATTTTTTTTATAAGGTAAAAAATACATCTTAATATCTTTTTTGGTTTAATTTTTATTATTTATTACTTTGGACTAAATCGTATTTTTTACAAATTTTGGGCCGGTTTCGAACATTTTATAATGGGAATTAGCTTAATTAGCACTAATTATAAAAGGAATTTAAATTTTAAAAAATTAAAACATGGGTTCAAATTCTTTAAAAAGACTTGTAAATGGTCCTCGTCCCAACATAACCCTATTTAATAAGCTTTTGGACACTATTTGAATTATTAGAAGTGGAAAAAAATAAGAATAGTTTAAAAAAATGTTTTTTTTTTGTCCAAAAAGAATTGTTAAATGTTGCGTGCCTTTTGGTTCTCAGTTAGTTTGGTCTAGAAGGTCTAATAGTAAACAAAATAAATTGGAGTAAATTATTTATTCATGCGTATATTTTACTTGGCAAAAATTACATGCGCTATTTTCTTAACCCATCCCTTGAAGAAAAAATGATGTTTTCTACACCTATATATTCTTTACTTTTAAGCTTTTTATTCTTACTAGTCTTAAGATATGCGCGTGTGCGTGTATCTCGTTTCATAAGTATAAAATTTTAAAATTTATATAAATATTAAATTAAAATTTATATTTGAGTTATAAAATAAAAGTTAAAAAACTGTAAGTTTTCAAAAATGGTGTGATTGATGATTCCATTTGGTTAACTCATAAAAAAATAAATTTGTCTCACAAAGGTCTTCCATCATATAGGTTAATATAATCTAGCTTAAAATTTGTTATATTTTTTGTTGTTTATTTTGTTAATTTTTTTTTGTATTTATCTTTCACTTCTATAAAACACATTTATGAAATTTTCTGCATATCATAATCTTAGATTTTCTTACTAGATTATTTTCATGTATAAAATAGCAAGTGCCTTAGTATTACTTAGATTTTTTATACCAATTTGTTCTCCTAAAGTTATATCTTTGAAATATTTAGTTCTAAGCTTAAATATATTCTAATAAAGAAAATAAAACTGAAAATATGAAAAGTATATTTTAAATGGATCTACTTCAATAATTCTAATTTCAGTTATAGGTATCCCGAAAATAAATTAGGTTTACTTTAAGTCTAAGAGTGTGTTTGGTATGAAGGAATATTTTCATGAAAAATAAGTGGTTTTATCGCTTATTTTCCCTAGTTTGATTGGTGAGTGAAAAACTTTTTTCAGAAAATATTTTCTAGTGTTTGGTTAGAGACTAGAAATGTGATGACCCGATAGGTCATCTTATATTTTAAAACCTAATTCTGCGTTACGAGGTCTCAAAAACCTTATCTTAGCCTTTTTCGATTTACGTGCGCAGTCAGGGTATTGGCCCGAAAGGCTTATATGTTAAAAACTGATAAAAATAAGAATTTTTGCCTAAAAATATCAGTTGAGTTGACTTCAGATAATATTTTTGATAAACGGGCCCGGATCTATATTTTGACGGTCTCGGTAGGTCCATATCAAAATATGGGACCTGGGCGTATGCCCAGAATCGAATTCAGAGGTCCCTACCTCGAGTTATGAATTTTTGATGAAAATTAAAAGTCTGAAAATTTAATGATTTTAAGAATTGGTTGATGTTTGGCCTTGTTGATAACGGGTCCGTATTTTAGTTTCGGAGCCCGATATAGGTCCAATATAATATTTATGACTTATTTGTGAAATTTGATGAGAAACAGAGTTGGTTTGACGTGATTCGGACGTCCGGTTGTGAAAATAGGAATTTTAAAGTGTTCTTGAGAATTTCATTTGATTTGGTGCTAAACTCGTAGTTCTAGGTGTTATTTTGGCAATTTTATTGCGCAAGCAAGTTTGTATGATGTTTTTAGATTTGTGTGCATGTTTGGTTTGGAGCCCCGAGAGCTCGGGTGAGATTCAGATAGGCTACAGGATGTTTTGGACTTAGGAAAAATCTGATTTCTGCAGTTTCAGTGCCTTCTGGTTTCCTTCTTCGCGTTCGCGAAAGCACTCTCGTGAACGCGTAGTAGAAATTGGGCTGGCTGAATTTTGCTTCTTCATGAATGCGAAGGCTGGGTCGCAAACGCCGAGCGATGGGGACTTTACCCTTCGCGAACGCGACCAGCTCAACGCGAACGCGTAGTGATAGGGACCTGAGGGAGGGGGTAAGTCACTCTTCATCGCGAACGTGAGCAAGGACTCGCGAACGCGAGGGTTAGGGGGCGTAACCTTCGCGAACGCGATAGGAGTTTCGCGATCGCGTAAGCTTGTCAAGCTCTGCTCTTCGCGAACGTGACAGTGTCCTCGCGAACGCGATGAACACTGTCGCCCAGCTATTAAATAGTCCCATTACAGGACTTAAGCCATTCTTTTAACTTTTCAAAAGCCAAACGACCTAGAGGCGATTCTTCCAACCTAAATTCTTCCCCAAAGTGTTGGTAAGTGATTTTAAACCACTTTCTTTCAATTACCCATTACATTTC